ATATTAGGATTTCTATTTGGTCTGGCCATATTTTGGTGTTCTAAACTTACTTGGAATGCCTGCCTGTGCCTTGAATTCACCCATGCCTAGCTTTCCCTGACCAGATAACAACCCTCTCTGAAACCCTAATGGAACCTCATAAATTCTGATGTTGTGATCTAAATTTGCTCCCTAAGTGCTGAACCATTTAGACCATTAACCTACTACCTGCCTTTGTATTATGCTTGTCAAAATTCTGTTATCTGTAAGTTCTCAAGGCACCCCCCGCCTGTTTTTCGACTTTCTGTGCTATAAAGCTGCGCTTCTAGAGAGCATAGTACTGTCTTCTATCCTATGGATTTCAGGAGAGGGACAGTCCTGCCTAGTTGGAATTACAAGCTTGCTTTAATTTGATTCAAAATTGGAGTTGGTGGTCTTTTCCTTGCATTGTTGTTTAACATAATCTCTACCTACCCATTTTATTTTATGTCTGCTTTCTGTCATCTGTCAATATGTCTATATCTCCATGTATCTTATTCTATGTCTACTCTGTCTACTATTAATTCTATTTACTTGGAGAATCCTAGTAAAATTATCATATATACCTCTTTGATGTTTTATTTTCATCATACTATAAGGTTAACAGTATATATATATAATGGACACCATTAAGTGATATTATATACTTCATTGATCAACATGAACTTCACATGTTCTTTCATCCTTTCAGCTTTTGTAATACATGTTATGTAATTTTCATGTAATAAAATCTAAACCAAAAAATATTTTCCTTCAAATCATCAATGATCTTCTATAGAGGATGACAAAATTCAGAATTATTTCTTCTTATCCATGTTGTCACCATATCTGACACCATATCTGATGTTTGCTACATGTTTTGTGAATGAACTTTTCTACATTATGTAATTTTTATGAGGAGTTTTTTGCTGGAAGTGAGGATCTGCAGGTGAGTTTTTTTTTTTTGTATTAAAAATTGGTCAGATGTTGCTTTGCAACAGAATCAGAATCCTAGCATTTTCACTTTTCATTTTAAGACACGGTTTCACTAAGTTGTTGAGGCTTTCACGAAATTTTTGAGCCTGGCCTCAAAGTTATAATTTTCCTGCCTCAGCCTCCTGAGTCACTGGGAATACACGCATGCACCACTCTTCTTGAGTGCAGGTGAATTTTAATGTCTTGTAAAATTTTAATTTTGCCTTAATATTTAGAATTCTTCTTCCTGGGGGGAAGGGGGTCTTTTCTGCTATCCTTTAATAAAGCCTCCCACTTTCCACTCTTACACTTGCCTTGGTGTGCTTCTCTCTGTTATACTTCAGCATTCAGGGAAGCTAGGACTCCTCACCGGTAAACAGCGGTAAGGACATCATATGTGATAGCGCTGGTTTCTTCATGTTTCCTGGACTGATTTTTCTGACTTTCTTGAGCATGTTGGATTCTGGTTTTCCCACTTGTAGAACAGTTTTGGCCATTGGTTCTTCAGATACATCAATCTATTCATGCCCAATATCAAACTGCCTCCTGACTCTACTGGCACACTTTAGCCTGTGGGAAGCTGTCCCCAAACACACCAATTGCTTGATCATTGTTTTCATTATCCTCCATTTTTATATTTAGTAGTTTCTAAAGTTTACTGATCTTGATTACTCAGTGTAATTGATAACTCAGTGTTTTGTTTGCTTGTTTCTTAATCTCAGACTCATGGCTTTAACCTCTGTAAGGTCAATTAGATAGTCTGTTTACATATTTTGCTGATTCCTCTGGATCATGTGTAAGGGTCCGGCGGAGCATCGGAGGGAGAGACCACACAAGAGATCAGCTTCATGCAATTGCAGGGGGAAGTTTTATTGAACCAGCATGCTGGGGCTCAAGGCTCACTCAGGAAGGGAGAGCAGCCCAGAGCCCAGAGCAGAGGTCAAGCAGAGCTTAAGTACACTTTTTGGAGAGGGTGGGGGGCTTTGCATACATCAGAACAAATCACCTTGAGGCGCGAGAAAATTGAACAACAACCCTGAGCCATGATTAGTACATCTATTGGCGGGAACAATCTGGGCAGGGGTGATTGGTCACCCCTGAGCGGGGTACACATTTAAACTGATTGGTTTTGTGGCCTGGATGCTTACGTCTGAGCTATTTGGAGCCCTTAGCTAATAAACAACCAGGGAATCAATGGAAATATTTACTGGGCAGTTCAGGTATTGTTCTAACAGCTACAGAGATTACAGGTTCTGGGGGTAGCAGAGGAATTTTAACAATACCTGGCCTATTATTATTATTATTTTTAGCCCAAGCCTTTCAATTTAGAAACCTTACAATCCCCAGTCTTTTACTTTAACTCAGACTCTTGCAGCTTAGAGTCAGCTTAGAAATTTTACCTTTACACATGAACTATTGAAACCCAGGTGTGATAACTGTCTTCATATAAACCTCCGAGGCTACAGCAGGCAAAGCAAGGAGTAAAATGCAGCCTCCTCTACTCTGATCTGGGTAAGCTGAGCCAGACCTCCCCTGCAGCTTTGCTTCCAGTCAGAGACCAGGAAGCAGTCTGTGACTCACTTCTCCATATGTCTGAGTAACTATCAACTTTATCATTGTTGTCCCACCTGTAACAGTAATAGTCATTCTCATCAACAAAGTGGGTTCTGCTGAGGTTCAGGGTGGCTGTGTTCCCTGAACTGGACCCAAAAAATGGTCAGGGATATGTGAAGGCTGGTTGCTATCTCCACAGATGACTAGCACCAGGACCTGGACTGGTTTTTGCTGGTACCAGTGAACATATTTTTCAGGAAAGTTTATTTCCAGAACAGGTAACTGCAGCCACTGACAGTGAGGGTGGCTGTGTCAGTATGTAAATGGTCATGGAATCTTCAGAAGAGAAAAAGAAAGGGGTCTGAGAATCAAGAATCCATTCCCAGTGGACCAACTTAAAACTATCTGGGTTGAGTTTAGGGTTTGAGTCAGGCCAGCTCAGGATCCTGTGTGAATTGAATGTGGAACCAGGGATTGTAGAGGTCACCTGTGCAGAGAGTGAAAAGTGCAGCAAGAGAGGTGTCCAGGCCATATTAGAGATGCCCCAAATTTCAGTATCCTGAAATCCACAGCACTGCTAAGCTCTGCCAGGCCTCTTATTCATTCTCAGGACCTTGAAGTAATGAGTGAGTGGTAATTATGCAAAGAGACTGCTGCTCTGTGATAACCACTGAAGGCTACTGGGAAAGATGCTTCACAGCTCTGGGGTTAACATAGGAGACTAAGGGAGAGTGGAGTTCCAAATTTCTCCAGCTGGTTCACTGGGAAAAAAGAATGAGCCTTGATTTCCATGACCAGAAATAATAGTCATTTATGATTGACTTGTGATCCCTTTCCCATCCCTCCTGTGCTGTGGTGAATCCTAGGCCCAAATCAGCAGTGCTGTTGATCTTCCACAAGCCTGGGCATGGATTGAGCCGGACCCTGCTGAGAGACATGAACAACCTCTGACTCAGCAGAAGGTGTGAAAAACCAGCCTCTACCTCAGAGCAAAGCCTGTCCAAGGAAGGGGTCATGACCCTTGTCTTTGGAAAGAGGCACAGAGCACTCCTAGGCACATACCCACCCTGCTGAGTTGTTTATCTACAAATAACAGGAGAGATCTGCTGCCCCAGGTGTCCCTGACTCAGTCAGGCTATGTGGGGACCCATAGGAACCCCCTAGCAGCCACCAATCAGCATGAGACAGGGTAATACCTGGGATGCCAGATGACCCTCCCAGTAGTTTATGGTGGTTGATAACATGTTGGGAAACCATGTAGTTCAGCATGTACTCTCCTCATGGCTTAAACCAATCAGTTCAACTGAATCCCCCTCTTGTACTAGCCAATCACCCTTACCCAACTTATTCCCGCCAGTGAATGTGCTAATCATGTTTTAGAGTTGTTTTATGGTTTTCCAGCAGTGTGTGACAATTTT